TTCTTCTACAAGGACAGTGTCAAAGCCGAGCGGGAGTAACTCTGGAGTTACCTGACCACTCCCTGAAGCCAAGAGGCCCTGGACAGTATCAACAGTGACACTCACACCCACAGCAGGCCCCTCTGGGGGCCTTCCTTCTCAAAGCCTGTGACTCAGTCTGCTCACAAGAAAAAGAGACACATCTCAAGCAGGAGGTTCTTCTGCAGAATAACTGACAGACTAGTAATCCTCAAAACTATCAGGGTCATCTACAACAGGAACGTTCTGAGAAACTGCTGTGGCCAGTAAGAGAAGCCTGTGGAGACAGGCTCTCTGGATGCACTGTGTTATCCTGGATAGAGTACAGAGGAAGGACTTTAGGAAGAAACTGGAAATCTGAACAAAGCAGGGATTCCAGTTAATGGTGATGTACTGTTACTGGTTCATTAATTATGGTAAATGTTCTATCTGGAAACTCAATAGTGTATCAAAATAGCCATAAACCTAAAATTTGGGGGGAGGGGGTTTAAGATTTATTTTTGCATACGAGTGCTCTATTTCCATGTATGCCTGCATGACAGAAGAGGGCATCGGATCCCGTTATAAAAGGTTGTGAGCCACCATATGGTTTTGGGAATTGAACTCAGGACCTCTGGAAGAACAGCCAGTGCTTGTAACTGCTGAGCTATCTCTCCAGCCTCCCTCCACACTCCAAAGTTGTTTTTAAATAGTTTTGAGCCAGTCTCGTGTATCCTAGGCTGGCCTTGAACTCACTATGTATCAAGGGTGATCCTGAACTCTGGCCCTCTCTCTCACTCTACCTCCCCAGAACTGGCATTACAGGTATGAACCATCAGTCACCATTTATGCAGTGCTGAGGATTGAACCCAGACAGATCTTCATGCACGTTAGGAAAGCACTTTCATTTGCACTACATCCCCAGCCCCTCAAATACTTCTAAACCAACAACATTTCAAAATAACTACAGGCACTCATAGAGATCGCAAGACGTATCAAGTACTAACTCTGAAAACACAGATTCCAAAATTGCTAGAGGTTTCACATCTCCCAACTGTTCCCGGGTGCTGTACATACTCTGGGCAGGGATTCCTGCCTCCTAATGAGGGAGTTTTCCAAAGCTGTTCTGAGAATTCAACTAAAAAGAGGCAGGGGAATAGAAAAGTGTCAGTAGATACTTCCTTATAGCAATCATGACAAATTCTCAAGAACTGCTCAAAATTGGGTAAAAATCTTGTCTGATGGAAAGCTAAGCTGCCTCCTAAAGGGAGTCAGTAGTTGGTGGCCTGAAACTGATGTGCAGCCATCTTGCAAAATATAATTGCTGATCCATTTATTGTCATTTAAAAGTATGAGATACCAGAGTTGTTCTTTCTTATCCAGTGGATGCCTGAGACCATGCTCATATTGAACCCTAAATACGTTGTTTTCCTCTCTACACGTACCTGTGATAAAGGCTACAGATGAGGCCAGAGAGAGAGAGTAACAATGATAACGAATATGCTGCAACAAAACTCATTAAATCTGGCCTTTGGCTCTAGGTTCTTTAAACAAATGAATTACATCTATTATTATTAGTGAGTGGGGAGAACCCTGTGTGGCAGGCAGGCAGGAGACAACTCTCGGAAGTCAGTTCTCTCCTACCATGTGAGTCCCAAGGATCAAACACAGGTTGTGATGAATGGATGACACAATGCCTATATGGTGAAATAAGGTGTGGTGGGTTAGGTGGGTGTTGTGATGCAGCATTAGGCTGCCTCTGACTTTCTGACAAGCTACAGTTAGGTTGGGAACGGCTGGGTGTCAGGAGCAGAGGGTAACGGTGGCTGGGGACCTGTGACAGCTGACGACTTTTTCTTCTCTTTTGTGTTTTTCCAGACAGGGTCTCTCTGTGTAGCCCTAGCTGTGCTGGAACTCGCCCTGTAGTCCAGGCTGGCCTCGAACTCACAGAGAGCCATCTGCTTCTGCCTCCCGAGTGCTGGGATTAAAGGCATGTGCCACTGCTACCTTGCTACCTAGCATTTTTTTTTTTTTTTTTTTAATAAGCACTGTAACTACCATGGCTGGAAAAGGAAATACTCTATGTGTTTGTGACAGAGTCTCACTAGCCTGGCTAGCCTGGAGTTCGCCAAGTAGATCTCCATGGCCTTGAACTAACAGAGCTCCACCTGATTCTGCTTCCCTAGTGCTGTGATTAAAGACATGCGCCACCACATCTGGTGAAAGGCAGGTGATACTTCCCTAGGGATCTCATGCTGGGAAACGAGAAAGATGAAGCTCTGGTGCCAGTCAGGAGAGAAACTTGCCCAGAAAGAATTTCAGAGTTTACAAAGCATCAGACGACCTTGCAGGGCAGACTGGAGCAAGGGCAGTGGTGGATCATGGCTGAAGGGACCGCATCCTGACCAGGACTGCTTAGCTATGCACACCTCTACCCCTCTAGTTACGCCTAAACCTCATGTCAGCGTTCCAGGGAGGGACTGGAAATCAGAGGATCCTTTATTTGTTCTTTTTCCCAATATGGGCACACTGAATCATCTCCTCTTACTGCTTCTCACTGTGAGTTGTTTCATAAATTGAAATATTGGGGACCAGTGGCCAAATCTCCCTTGTTCGCACTGTCAGAGGCCAGACTTTGGCCCTAAAAACTCCAGTTAATAAAAACCTTTCAAAAAGACAATGCAGTTGCCAAGTATGGTGGCACATGCCTTTTGTCCCCACACGAGGGAGGCAGGCAGATCTCTGTGAGTTTGAAACCAGTCTGGTCTACGTAGTGAGTTCCAGGCCAGCCAGAACTACACAGTGAAGCCCTGTCTAAAAATAAATGAAATGTTTAATGGCATATCAATCTGAAGTTGTCTGTTAATTCATCAATAATGTTTGCAGGGGCTACAGTCCTTAAGCAATCCCATGGATGACTTTAATGTTGTTTCATCAAGGATCATAATCCATAAGCTTATTCTTCAGGGCATGTAGAATTTGAAACACATTGACAAAATTTGATAATGTCCACACGGCTGGCTCTGCTTCATCGTCCTCTTCCATCACAGAAAAGCAGACATCTTCCACTTCCCCCCTCGCTGGCACTTAGCAACGGCCTTCCGTGTGTCCTGCTTCTGCTGGGTATGTGGGAATGTGGCAGAGGCTTCACTGGCAGCTACAGCCTCCATGGAGAGCTTTTCAGAACAAACCGTTCCTAACCCTGCGTAGCCAATCCTTACTCCCAGGAAGTGGCTTTGCGCTCTTGTTTCAGGGCATGCCCAGCTGAAGCCTCCACACAGGCATAAAGGTCTGACATATGGCATCTTGTCCAGTAGAAGACCATTCTTGTTTCTACTCACAATGTAATGGCCTCTCTACCCTAAGTAAACACTTACTAGGCACTGTGGCTGTAACCTTGGCAACATGAGGTACAAAAACAAAACTACCACTTATTTATTTAGATTTCAGAAAAGTTCTCAGGCAGCCAAGAACAGGACTGACTATAGGAGTGCTCTACCACACGGCTCTTAGGATGCTCTGGAAAAAACCCACCGCTTCCTGCATGCTGGGTAAACCCTCTCCCAACTAAGCTACACACCAGCCCTGGTTTTTAATTTTTTAAATACTTATTTTCAGTTCTGAGTAGCTGCCTGTGTCTGCCTGTTTTGTGCACACGCCCCAGAAGCCCAGAAGCATTGGACACTACGGAGCTGGTTGGGAGCTGCCTGATGTGAAGGCTGGATCTGCCTGATGTGAAGGCTGGATCTAACGGAAATCCGTTCCTCTGGGAGAGCAGCAGGGGCCCTTGACCACTGAGCCAGCTCTCCAACCCTAACGTGTTTGTTTTTACACAAGTCTGGCAATCGAGCCCAGGCTGACTTCGAACTCACTTCCCTTCTACCTCCTGCCTCAAATGCTGGGATTGGAGGGCTGCAACACCATAGTCGACACAAACTCTTCTTCGTAATTTCACAGATACAAGATTTGCTCTTGTAGGGCAGCGGTGGCGCACGCCTTTAATCCCAGCACTCAGGAGACAGAGGCAGGTGGATCTCCGTGAGTTCGAGGCCAGCCTGGTCTATGGAATGAGTTCCAGGACAGCCAGAGCTACACAGGGAAACCCTGTATCAGAAAACAAACAAAAACCAACAACAATAAAAGACTTGTTCTTACTGAAGATTTTAGCAACTTTAGCCTTTGGGTTTATTTTATTTACTTTATGCCAAGCATCTTTTTACCTAACATTAGCACTTTTTGGTTTTGCCAAAGCAAAACCGAAAAGCTAGCATTTCTACTCTCGTGCTGATTACATAGGGTTACTTGGCACAGTCAGCTGTTCGAAGTAACTAATGAGTGGGTAGCATACATGCAGGGATCCTACCAGCACGATGATGGACGTGCAAAGCAGGAAGGGGCCAAACTTCATCGTGCTGCTCTTTCTTAGGAGGCCGGGAAGAGCAGTACCGGGGATTGAACACGGGACCGGGTAAGCACTCTACCACTGACTTCTTCAACACGCTACTCAAAACACACAATTTCAAAGCCACGGGCTGTTTGTTTCTGCAGTCTTCCGCTTACTATTTTCAGGCTACGGGTAAATGAAACCGCAAGCAAGGGGGAGGCCACTGCATCACCTTCCCTTTCTTTTCCAGAGTTTTCTCTCAAGCACGGACCGTGCGCCTAGGCACTTTCACATGTATGGTCTCTTCATCCTCTGCACAGGCCTCTGTGCCCCTTTGCGGAGGCGGAAACAAGGAAGGGAAAACGCGAGGTGTCCGGGGCTACACAGCAGGGCGGGGCACACCCGGGATGCCATGGCGGCTCCGCCGGGCGGAGGGCAGCCTGGGCCCTGGCCTTGAAGACCCCGAGCTCTGACCCAGGCGAGGACCCCCGTCTCCTCGGCACGCAGACTGCCCATCCCAAGTTAACTTTCCTCCGCGGCCCGGGGAAGCCGCTGTGGCCTGCAGCTCCGCCCCGACCCCGCCCGCCGGCCGGCCGGCCACCGGCACCTCAATACCTACCTCCAGTACCGCCGCTCCGCTGCGCCGGAAGTGTTTCCTCGAGACCCGGAAGCGATGCGCCCAAAGCTGCCTCAGGTTCCGCTCTGCCGGCTTTACTGGGGCTACCGGTTCGTCGCCCTCATCCTGACGCCTTAACGATTTTTTGTTTGATTTGAGACGGAGCTCACAGTGTAGCCCTGACTGGCCTCGAACTTGGAGCAATCTTCCTGTCTGATTACAGACTGTCTCCACATTATTTAGAAATGAGTTCTAAGTCTGAGCTAGAAACCTACAATATAAGGGTTTATATATTTATAAATCCTTTTATAATGTAAGGTTTATATATATATATATATATATATATATATATATATCATATCATATATAATATAAGGTTTATAATATAAGGAAGACAGATTCATGTGCTATAATTCAGACAAAAAGAAATCACCATAATAAATTTAAAAGCGGCCACTGAACATCACTGCTCCCATGGAATTTATAGTCAGAGAGGGAAAATCAAGTATGGATATGGAATTCATAATGCGATAAGTGTTTGAAAGGCAAATAACAGAGTATTGGAGTAAATGAGCCGGGTGTGTGTACGTATCCAGTTTAGACAGAGGGTGGTAGCCGGCCTCCACAATAGGCAGTGATGTTAGTGGTGCCTGACAGCCATGCCTTTTATAGTCTCCTCTTACGCTGAATGGGGCTGACAAGTGTGACTCATAGTATATTGGGGAAATACAGAGCTTGAGTTCCAAAGTCAGAAAAACACTGTGACTTCCTCTTTGCTCTCTCTTGATCACTCATGGGAAATCCCACATAGTGAGGTTCACATGGGCAGTTACCAAGCCTCCGGTCAATAACTAACTCAGCATGGCAGTCAAATGGATTAACTATCTCCAGAGTTCATCCTCCAGTCCCAGGTCAGCTGACTGCGGTTCTGACCCTAAATCTTTTAATTGTGTGTGGGGTGTGTAGGTGTGGGTGGGTGGGTATGGGTGTGGCATATGCACACATGTGCGTGCACCTATGCAGACTGAGACCAGAGGCGTGTATCAGCAGGTGTCCAGCTGTATTACATTCCACGTTATTCCCTTGAGAAAGGGAAGCCCCAGGATCCTGTTTCCACTCTGCCTTGGCACTGGGGGTAAAGGTGTATGTGTGACCGCACCTGGCTTTGTACTTGGGTACTTGCGATTCAAACTCATATCTTTATGCTTGCTCAGCGAGCCCTCTTACCCACTGAGTCATCCCCAGCCCCGAAATCAATTGTGTAGATGGATTTCTGGGTTGTTGTTGTTTTTTTCCGTTTTCTTTTCCAGCGTCAAGGATGAAAGCTCAAGCATACTGCTCCAAATCCCTGCTGCTGTAACTTCCTCCCAATGACAGACTATAATCTCAAACTGTGAGTCAAAACGAACTCCCTAAGTTGCTTTTGTCAAAGTATTTTATCACAGCAATAAGAAGTGACTAGGGGCTGGAGAGGTGATGGCTCAGTGGTTGAGAGCACTTGCTGCTCTTGCGGAGGACCTGGGTTCGGTTCCCAGCCCCCACATCGTGGCACAAAATCTTGTATAACTCCATTTCCAAGGGGTCAGAAGCTTTCTTCTGGCCTGTATATAAAGAAAAGGGAATGTTTCTGAAATACAGAGAGAGCCCCAGCCTGGTTACTTGATGAAACAAGTCTTAAATATATATAAAGGAAAACTAAACAAAAAAGAAAGAAAAGTAGCTAATACAGAGATGGAGCTGAGGTCTGAAGGGAACAAATCTTTAACACAGGACTTGTCCTAAAGGGGTCAGTATGAAGCCTGGATAAGGACAGCAGTTTTGTTTTGGGGGTGTTTTTTGTTTGTTTGTTTTTGAGACAGGGTCTCACTATGTCACCCTAGCTGGACCGGAACTCTTTACATAGACCAGGTGGCTTTGAACTCACAGAGATATGTCCAAAGATATATTGGAACCAACCTTCACTACTATTTGGAGACAAGATCTTTTTGCAGGGGAAGGGTGCAGTGAACTTTATTGATGGTATCAATAGAATAGGGCTCCCTAAGCCCCTCCTCTCCTTCCAAGGGTCTGGGATAGAAACTCAGTGTTGGGGCCGAGTTGGAACAGGGCATCCTCAGCAGCCAAGGTCCTCTCCCTCTCCTGCTCTTGCTGGGATGACTGGTCCAGGGTTTCTTATTCCATGGAGGCCCTGAGGTCCACCACCCTGTTTCTTTATTCATTGTCATACCAGAAAATGAGCTTTACCAAGTTGTGGAGACAGGATCATTATAAAAGTATATCAGCTGGACATAGTGGTTCACACATGTAATCTCAGCACTTGGGAGCCTGTAGCAGGAGGGTTATCATGTGTTTGAGGCTGGGCTACAAGATGAGACAATGTCTTTAAAAAAAAAAAGAGCTAGGTTTGGTCGCGCACACCTTTAATCCCAGCACTTTGGAGGCAGAGGCAGGAGGATCTCTATGAGTTCCAAGCCAGCCTGATCTACATAACAATTTCCAGGACAGCCAGGACTAAATAAAGTGAACATGTCTCAAACCAGCAAACAAAAAAGAAGACCAAGGAGATAGCTTATTCTGTCAAAGTGCTACTGCACATGTCTGGTAACCTGAGGCCAATCCCTAGAACCCACATAAAAGTGGACAGAGAAAACTTACTCCACAAAGTTGTCCTCTGACCTCCACATGTGTGCCATAGCATGTGTGCCTTCCTGCCCACGTCATGCACACACACATATACACACACACACACACACACACACATACAATAATATATTTTTTTAATAATTTATTTTATATGTATTGGTGTTTTGCATGCATATGTGTCTGTGTGATAGTGTTGGATCCCCTGGAATTGGAGTTTCAGTCAGCTGTGAGCTGCCATGTGAGTGCTGGGAATTGAACCCAGGTCCTCTGGAAGAACAGCCAGTGCTCTTAACTGCTGAGACACCTTTCTAGTCCAATAATAAATATTTTTAAGAGAAAAAGAGTGCTTGACAATGGTGGCGCACACCTTTAACCCCAGCACTCAGGATGCAGAGGCAGGAGAATCTCTGTGAGTTCAATGCCACCTAGTCTACAAAGTGAGTTCTAGGATAGGCTCCAAAGCTACATAGAGAAACCTTGTCGAGAGAGAGAGAGAGAGAGAGAGAGAGAGAGAGAGAGAGAGAGAGAGAGAGAAGGAGGAGCTCAACTGGATAAATGTTAAAAATCTAGTCTAAAAAATCTAGTTTATACCTATGAACACCTGATTTTTGACAAAGAAGCCAAAATTGTACAATGGAAAAAAGAAAGCATCTTCAACCAACGGTGCTGGCATAACTGGATACCAACATGTAGACGGCTAGAAATAGATCCATATCTGTCACTGTGCACAAAACTCAAGTCCAAGTGGATCAAGGACCTCAACATAAATCCAGCTACTCTGAACCTGCTAGAAGAGAAATAGGAAGTAGCCTTGAACGCATTGGCATAGGAGATCACTTCCTAAATATAACACCAGAAGCACAGACACTGAGAGCAACAATTAATAAATGGGACCTCCTGAAACTGAGAAGCTTCTGTAAGGCAAAGGACATGGTCAGTAAGACAAAACGGCAGCCTACAGAATGGCAAAAGGTCTTCATCAATCCCACATCTGAGAGAGGGCTGATCTCCAAAATACATAAAGAACTCAAGAAACTAGACATCAAAAATACCAAATAATTCAATTAAAAAATGGAGTACAGATCTAAACAGAGAATTCTCAACAGAAGAATCTCAAATGGCTGAAAGACATTGAAGGAATTGCTCAACATCCTTAATCATCAGGGAAATGCAAATCAAAACAACTCTGAGATACCATCTTACATCTGTCAGAATGGCTAAGATCAAAAACACTGATGACAGCTTATGTTGGAGAGGATGTGGAGCAAGCGAAACATTCCTCCACTGCTGGTGGGAATGCGAACTCATATAGCCACTTTGTAAATTAGTATGATGGTTTCTCAGAAAATTGGGAATAAATCTACCTCAACACCCAGTGATACCACTCGGGAATATACCCAAAGGATGCTCAGTCAATCATACCACAAGGACACATGTTCATCCATGTTCATAGCAGCATTATTCCTACTAGCCAGAACCTGGAAACGACCTCGATGCCCCTCAACCAAAGAATGGATAATAAAAATGTGGTTCATTTACACAATAGAATATTCCTCTCAGTGGCAAAAAACCAATGACATCATGAAATTTGCAGGCAAATGGATGAACTAGAAAAAAATCATCTTGAGTGAGGTAACACAGACCCAGAAAGACAAATATGGTATGTCCTCATTCATAAGTGGATAGTAGATGTAAAGCAAAGGATAACTGGGCTACAAACCACAGCCCTAGAGAAACTATGTAACAAGGAGAACCCTAAGAGGAATACATGGATTACCCTGGGAAGGGGAAATAGATGAGATCTCCTGGGTATACTGGGGTCGGGTGGAGGGGGTACAGGGGAGGGGCTGGGGGATAGGAACATGAGGGATTGGGATGGTTGAGTTGGGGGAGGGACAGAGAGTGAGAGCAACAAAAGAAACATCTTGATAGAGGGGGCCATTAGGGGGTTAGGAAGAAACCTGGTACCAGGGGAAATCCTAGGAATCCATAAGGATAACCCCAGCTAAGACTCCTAGCAATAGTGGAGAGGGTCCTAGAACTGGCCTTCTTCTGTAATCAGATTGGTGACTACCCTAATTGTCATCATAGAACCTTCATCCAGTAACTGATGGAAGCAGATGCAGAGATCCACAGCCAAGCATTGGGCTGAGCTCCAGGAGTCCTGTTGAAGAGAGGGAGGAGAAATGGTACAAGCCAGGGGCATTAAGTTCATGACAGGGAAAGCCACAGAGACAGCTGACCCGAGTTCATGGGAGCTCACGGACTTTAGACAGACAGGCCTGCATGGGACCGACCTGGGCTCTCTGCATGTGGGTGACAGTTGTGTAACTTAGTCTGTTTGTGGGGTCCCTAGCAGTGGGACCAGGATCTGTCCCTGGCGCATGAACTCGCTTTGTAGAACCCATTCCCTGTGGTGGGATGCCTCGCTCAGCCTTGATGCAGGGGGGAGGAGCTTAGTCCTGTCTCAACTGGATATGCCATGCGATGTTGACTCCCATGGGAAGCCTTACCTTTTCTGAAGAGTGGATGGGGAGGGGGGGCGTGTAGAAAGGAGGTGGAGGGAGGGGACGGGAGGAGAGTGGCGGGGGTGGAGGGTGGAACTGTGGTTGGTATGTAAAATAAATTTTAAAAGTTCAATCATACCACAAAGATACATGCTCAACTATGTTCATAGCAGCATTATTCGTAATAGCTAGAACCTGGAAACAACCTAGATACCCGTCAACTGAAGAATGGATGAAGAAAATGTGGTACATATACACAATGGAGTACTACTCAGCAGAGAAAAACAATGACAGCATGAAACTTGCAGGCAAATGGATGGAACTAGAAAATATCATCCTGAGTGAGGTTACCCAAACCCAGAAGGACAAACATGGTATGTACTCACTCATAAGTGGAGACTAGATTGTAGCTAGAGTTTTCCTGCCTGGCCCACAGTCAGGACAAATCTTTGTCACCCGCCAGTCCCACAGCCATTCAGACCCAACCAAGTAAACACAGAGACTTATATTGTTTACAAACTGTATGGCCGTGGCAGGCTTCTTGCTAACTGTTCTTATAGCTTAAATTAATCCATTTCCATTAATCTACACCTTGCCACATGGCTCGTGGCTTACTGGTATCTTCACATGCTGCTTGTCCTGGTGGTGGCTGGCAGTGTCTCTCTCAGCCTTCCACTTCCAAGTTTTATTCTCCTCCTTGTCCCGCCTATACTTCCTGCCTGGCCACTGGCCAATCAGTGATTTATTTATTGACCAATCAGCAACACACTTGACATACAGACCATCCCACAGCACTAGATATAAAGCAAAGGACAATCAGACTGCAACCCACAGAACCAGGGAGGCTACATAGCCGGGGAGACCCTAGGATGACTGTGGCTTATAATAAGTTTTGGTTTTACTCAATTACTGGACAAGCCTCAGTGAAACATTTCACTATTAGGATAAGAATTTGTACTGTATCAAGCTGATAATAGAAAAATAAATAAATTTTAAAAAGTGAAAAAAATTAATATTTTTTTTTTTTAAATCTAGTCTAAGGGCTGGAGAGATGGCTCAGCGGTTAAGAGCACTGACTGCTCTTCCAGAGGTCTTGAGTTCAATTCCCAGCAACCACATGGTGGCTCACAACCATCTGTAATGAGATCTGGCGCCCTCTTCTGACCTGCAGGCAAACATGCTGTACACATAATAAATAAATCTTTTAAAAAAAAAAATGTAGTCTAAAAAGAAGGAGTTTGGC